AAGCTATTTATAATAAATAACTCCCCACATATCCCACCAAACACATGGCATCATCTTCCGAGCATGAAGATCGGTTTGGTTTGAGGTGTAGCTTGCTTGTTGGGGTTCAACTATCTTTTCATTGTTTCATATTCACGTACAAGCACCACTATTAATCGGCAGTAATAATAAGCTTCAAAAAAGGTTTCCATTGTTGACTGTCGAGGTGATTTGCGACCAGTACTGAGACGCGGACATCTGCATATTACATCTTGTTGTGCTCACTAAAAGCTCACGGAACCCATGAACCAAGCTGTTGGGCCCTTTCTATCGACTTCAGATTTTGAGCCATTGTTCATTTGTTGCATTTCATCTCTCTGGCCAACTATTGAATTGTTCGACGGGGATGTTCATGAATTAGAGCATTTAAAAGATCTTCATCGAAGAATGACTTCCTTCCAGAGCACGGAGCTTCCGTCATACTGAAATTGTCTTCTTCGTAACAGACGAACCATTTCTGAGCTGTCATTCTAGCAAGAAAATCTTTTATGTAAAAAGCACACTTGTTTCTGACGACCTCTATAAAGTTCGAATGAAAGAAGATGTCAGAAATGTTCATTTTGTCAACCTGACACTTCAGTTTTCTTTTGGCTGTAAACAATCAGAATTTAATTCTAAAAGTACTTTGCTAGAGGAATAAAATGACACATAACGTGAATAAATCAAATTATAACATGATTTGATTTTGAACAATCGAAAAGCACACGAGCTTACGGGACAACCCAATAGTTTGTTTGTGATATCCGCAAGGAATCGCTGCTACGCGGCAAGCAGTGCTGACGTGCTTTGTTTGAATTCTGTAGAGAGGGGGTTTGAAAGAAACCAATCAGATTCTGCCTATTTTCAATAATGGCCTTGCCTATTACCCTTAACATATGCTGACCTATATACTGACCTAAGAAGGCGAGAAAGTGGTTTGAAGGCGATGGCTGACCGGAGCCTCCCCCCATTCATGGGTATGAATTGATCTATCAATTGTCTGATAGCAAAACGAATACCTCATTTTAAGCCTGATGCTACACCACCACCCATATTGGGGGTCCGCTTTGGGGGCCAACATGCAGCTACGCATGCCAATAGGCGCAGACGTCTTCTCGGGTGGTCTTGCAACCAATCGCGAAGTTCTACGACCGTACTGATCTGACTTCATTCTATTTAGTACGGCGCCGGACCCTTCTTACCGTTCGTCTTACCAGCACAGCTGCAGTAGGCATCTGTTTCGACGTGAAACGGGAATCACGCGCGTAAGTGCGTATTTAAACGGACTTGGGGACTATTTCAGTCTCTACTTAGCCGTCGCTTTAGAACATAAAGATGCTAGTAAAGGCTTGATCAGTCGTCAGTTGTTTAGCACGATTTGTAAGTTTTATTGTAATGCCTTTGATTGTTCGTGTATAAATTTTGTTAAGAACAGGAAATCTGTGGGACAAAGAACTAGGGCTACTTCTGGAGGAACCAGCAATTGAACATCTGAAACTATTATTTCTATCTTTACTGCGCTGAAGGATCAGCCACACTTTGGAATCAAAGTTGAGCACAAATAAAGGCGAAAGTGCCCTCTGCCCTAGCTATTGCGAAGGTTGCAGAAATCCTGTATAATTGGGACATTGTTGAAGAATACTCAAATGCATCATGGAGGGAAATTTAGGAAGCTTGGATCTCTGAATGGCTTGTAAGTAACAAATGTATTTGGAAAGGAACAAAGGTCGGAAAAACGAAACGTATAACTTTTTCTCGCAGGGAATTCTAAGCCGGAGTCTTCTTTTTTGCGCAAATGTCGGAGTGCTTATTGCATAACCTCCGTCAACTCACAATTCTGTGCATTTCAAAGAATTTACTACTGAACTGGGCAATTAGCCGATGCGGAGGGGAGAAACCATTGCAAGCAATGTGTATGGTCAGCCAGTAGCCCGACCTCATCTTCCGTCGTCCTAGCGTTTCCACCTAAACAAGCTGACTATGAGAAGCGAATGAAAGTCCAGATTGCAATCATAATTCTGATTGCAGGCGTCAGGAATCGCTACCACCCACTAAAGGTAGTAGGAGTTTTGGCCAATTGTGGCGGGAGACTGTCAGTTTATAGGAGCGTAATTGGGACTGATTTATACCTACACCTTGCTCGGGAACATCAAAACCAAATAAGGTTCTTTTTCATTTGGCGTGTAGTGCCATAGTAATTTATCCTGTAATGAACTGTAACCTACGCTCCACTAGCCCTGCTGGGGCGCGCGCGCAATTCTTCTTACTAGTTAGAGGGCTGGTGTTTGCAGGACCAACTTTGACTATGCAGACTGATGAGTTGAAACGTTGTGCCTTGTTAGTTATAATTTGGGCTTCCTACAAAATTCCTTGACATAAATACATGCTATAAATACAAATTAAGTGGAATGGCTATGATGACTCAAGTTTGCGCTATTTTCTCTTCGCTATGCCTCCCAACCAATTAAAACGCTGAATTTAACTTTTTGGACAGATTTGACGCCCGAAGTCCCATAAACACGTCAGTAAATTAACCAGGGAATGAAAATAGGAGACTTCATATCCGGCTTTTCGTTGTTTACCGACTTTATTTTTGAGCAAGAATTCCAGTTTCGGGATTATTGATATTTGTCATGTCATTAGTTCTCACAGAAAGTTTGAGACGGTACTGACTCTACTGGGTTCTCTGTCGTCTGACGCCATGGACAACCAGGCGTTTTGGATTGTCCTGAAAGTCTTACTGGTATTTTCGTTCTCCTTCGATGTGTAGGTAAAGTAGAAGTCCACTGTTCGCATTGATTATAACTCCTTACTAAGTTATAGGTCGCGTGGTTGGATTGGCATTTAATTAGGTCGCGTAGAAGATGTATGTTAAGACCGTTAATTTTAATGCTCCCGAAGGTAACCCTCTATGGACCTATTGTACTTTGCGCCGGAAGTTACAGAGATGGCTTCGCAAAAGTCGCATTGAGCGCTTTTATCGGAAGGAACGGCGTCTACCTAACGTACTCCGTCGAAAGTAACTGCAAGGAAGCTCTCGGGGAAGTCTTGCGCAGTCTTGAAAAACTGGCTAAATTTCTCGCGGCATAATTTGCCTGACTATCAAACAATGCTCGCCTTTATGCAGCCATATATCGGAAGTGCATTGTGATGCCTAAATTTTATTTCATTTTCGGGTGATATGGTGCCCTTACAGAAATTAAATCAAAAACCGACGCATGGTTCGCTCATAGGACGGCAGTCATCTGGCCACTAATTTTGGCCATATTGTTTTTAGAGACGCTGATGGACGGTTGCGATGAGTTGAGTACCACCAAATTGTTGCAGAAGCGACCAGTGTCGACCCGAATGGCGGCCTGAAGTGTACTCTACTTATCTTTCCTTGCTTAACTCCGTATTTCTGTACTTTCCGCAGAAAAGTATTTGCTAATTCAATCTGAATACGAGTTGAGAAGTTATATTTGATTTACATAAGAAGAGGTGGGCGAAAGTTCAAACAAATCGGGCCATATTTTCTGTTTTAAGGTTGCCAAGAGAAATTCGATGGAAGAACAAGTTCAGTCTCTGCCCGTTCTTCGGGCATTGGCAGTCTACTCGTCGCCAGTGTACGTCATTAGCGTCATGTTACCAGAACTTTGTCTGTGTTCTAGTTTTCCGCCTCATAAAAGCACTGCAAATCACTGCAATAACAATAACGCAGAACCAGCTTGCTTTGTCTACCTAATCTTAATTAGCAGTCTACAAGCTCGAGGCAGAGTTACGGAATTCCATCTGTTCTCCGTTGAGTTTCGTTAGGCTTGGGGAAAGAGATCCAGAGGTGCGCTCATTGACTGCAAAACGATCGTCGACACCGTTGTCTGCTTAATAGGGACCAATGAATTAGCTGTTCAGCAATTCATTTGAGCGGGTACACCGGATATAACAGTACACTAAACACATGCCTTCCGACATTGCATTTAAAGATTTTCGACCCTGCCTTATTTAAACGCCTAGCTCAAAATAAAACATGATAGAACGTTAGGAAAAAACGGCCGATTTCAAGCGTCATCATAAGAAAGTTATATTTTTTCACAGTATAGATGAAGCCTGCCCAGAACTGATTCTTCGGCCAATCAAAAGTCTAAAGATGCATACCTTCAACATTAAGAAGGCTTGTCGACTACGAAATCTATAAGAAAAGATGGGCCCAAAATGTCCCTTGTGATCTTCAAGCAACGTACTGTTTCTCTTTGAAGGTGCACCATGTACGCACCGAAGCTTTCACTGCATCCTCCTTCTTCATGTCTCAGAGCGTGGATTCATGTTTCGGCCTAGAGTATGCTCGTGTGAAGTTGTTAATTTGGTTTGCTTGTCAGTACTTCAGCTTTAAACACTATTAACCTTAAGACAGAACATAATAAAACAGGCCTACTACCAAATTCTTGCGTTTCCTTGTTCACCGGCACAAATCCGAATAAATTCAACAATAATCGCCCACGTTCATCAACGGATTCTGCGCTAATTTTTTCTGGATCGTTCTTTGCCATAACACGTACGGTTTCTTGACATGGCCAAACTATCTAGTCAGAGGGAGCCCGAGTGTGAAAACGTAACTGCATGATGAGAGCTCAATGGAAACTATTAAAGCGTGCCTATCGCAAGCATTCCAGTAGAAGATGACAGTCCTGCAAGCAATTGTATGCCTCCTGTTTTTTAAAGTCATCAGACTATTACACCTGCATTATCAACTTACGTCGGGGCGATAATAGCCCTTAGAACTAGTATCCGACCGTAGGGGTCAGAAGCACCACATTTAAAGCTGCCAGCAATTCTAGTCTTCATAAAGCATAAAGCACCTTTCCAGCAGATCCGAAACTCTACCTCTCTGTAGCAATGTGTGTACAAATAGAAGATTCTAAAGGGGTATTTAGAAGGACAAGGGCGGTTGAAATAATAATTTCTGACTTAAACGCTTTCGTCTCTTTGTCACTCCGTTATTCAATATGGAGGAGGAGGAGGAGGAGGAGGAGTATGGATTCGGGTAAGTCCGCGGGATTGGTCTGACGGAGAACAATATCAGTAAGCCATCTTATATGGATTTAGTTCACTCGCCTTTTTGAATTTTAGAGAACGGGAATATCCCTAGTAACGATATCTGCACCCGAATGACAGAGCGCGGTTTGTGATTAAGCTGAGAAATATTCATAGTGATTCGATTTTTAGGCAGCTTAGGCATGGGACAGTGTACGACTTACTGACTATGGAGGGCGTACACAGAACAAACAGTCCGGTATCTCTGACTTTGTTTATAATCCCTCTGCTAATTGTTTTTTGCGCATTGCTGTGCAGCCGCCTGCATTGACCGTAGTATGAACTCCGGAACAAAATCCCTCCAGTTTTGCAGACCGGTAAATTCCACTTATAATGCGACCACTGGACCCCATGGCTGGTCCACAAAGTAGTTCAAATGCTCCTTAAAGCTGGTAACTGACTTAACTGCTTATCGCTTCGATAGAATACGACCTCAACAGCTGATTAAATATAGCCTCAGTTGTCGAAAGGGCAACCAACTTTTGGGCCAAACACAATCGTCCACATAAGTAAAAGCAAAAGGCCAGTTGCAGACTATCGCTTTTTAATGATGAAAAAGGATAACAGCATTTTTGGATAAGTGCATTCTTCAAGAACTTTCTCGGTCGGCCTCCAGTACTAACGCCATTCCACCGGATGTGTTAAGTGCGCAGTGCCCGTTTTGTCAGCTGACGCACCAGACTACATACTGGGTGCGAGAATCAAACATTTCTCTCCATTTTCCTCTCGAATTCTACATAAACATTGTGTGGAGACGCTCTGGAGACAGGCAGTACATTTGAGCGTCAGCAATTTCAGTAAACTATCTCTCCAAATGATACGCAAGAACCTCATGGGCTTAAGGCTTCAGATCCTCAGAAGTCTGCATAAACAAGACTAAAACGAATAACCGGTTGGACAAAATTCCCTGAAATATGAACAATATAAAATTGATTGTTAGATAAGCAGAACAATCTTTTCGACAACTTTCCGTGCCTCCCGGTACTGCCCTGACAAATAAGGATGCATCGACGTGTTCTGGGGTTGCAACGGATGGGGCTCCTTCGTTGGAAGTTGTTTTATTCGTTGTTTCATGGCCCGATTCTGCTCCAAAACGACTGCTGCCTAACAAAAGGGACTTGTTTTCCTTCTAACATTTATTTCGTTCCTATCTGCGCCTCCTACTCCTTGAGGGCATCGCAGGGAGGCCGTATATCCCGTATGGATTCTAAGATGGTTTAAAATATGGCAGCCTCAACAATTTTCGATTTTTATCTCCACATTTTTGGTCATAAAAGTAAATTGAACTGGCTCAGAAGCCTAAGTGGTTCAGGCGTGCGCAGTGTTTTCGTGTTAAATTTGCGTGAACGGTGAGAGTAGTTTAGCTACTGTTAATCAACTTACACACAATGGGTGGCATTGTGTAACTTTCCCATGACAGTCCTCTAAAAATTAGGAGTATCTTCCCGCCGAGACGTATTTCATTGTTGGGTTTTCTTACGTGGTGAGTTCCTGGTCGTTATTATTCAATATCTCATAGGCGTTTGAACGCACAAGATATTCTTACATCCTATGAATCATGCCTTTTATTGTCTTCTCTGAAAAAAGCGTTCAGTTTATCCAAAAGACTGGCGCTAATGTTGTTCTATGTTTGCAGAGGAATCTGTTTCCCTAGCCCTTCAGAGAGGCCATCATATTATCCCCTGATTCTTCTGCTTAGAATTTTCGTTTTTCAAATATCAAGTCTTCTTCCGTAATTTGCAAGCACAGTATTTAAATTTGAGAGGAAATCACAGCTGAAATTATTCGAAAATGCTTTCTCGACAATGTGTCCATCCTACTATCAACGGATCGGATCGGGAAAGTACAAGTTTAAGAATGTTTCAGAACGCGAGTGCCGCTTCACTCAATGGGATCCGAGCTTCTTACAATTCATCCGAGTCTTTTCTAAGATAGTCCTCCATAAGATACAGAACCGATACCAAAATGCGGCCAGATCGCAGTTGGAAGCCAGGAATGGGGAAGCGGACGGTGACCTTAACCCTAATCCTAACCTTAACCCTAATAGTAACCTTAACCTTAAACGGTAACCGTTAATCCTAACGGCAACCTTAACCCTAACCCTAACCGAAATCGTAAACGTAACTGTAGCCCTTAGACATAGACGTGGCTATAAAACCTAACCGTACCACTGAAAACTAGTCGTAAATTTAAACCCTAACCGTAACCCGAAAAACTATGTCTAAAGAGCATAACCGATACCCTAATCCTAATCTCAAAGGTAAGACGGAGGCCAACTGGGTCAGATGTGATAGTGTAGCCCCACAAAAATGCTCCAGTAAACAAACCTCCAGCCACCTGTAATACGAGGCCTGGCTGCCAATTGCGACCTAGCCCAAAATGCAAACTAAGAGCGTTCTTCACTCTAAAATGATTTTCCTAATCTGCTGGAAATGCTCTTAATGGACAGTTAGCAGGTTAAGGTGCCTGACTAGATCTGATAATTATTGGTCAGCTGGAAGACATATTCAAGGACTTCATTTAAGTGGTAATACGGCTCAACGCCTAACGCACTTATCGGGTAGTTTGAAGGCCTTATGAACATTTGGACTCGTGTTTGGACGTCTAGAAATCTGAAAACTTATCACTGAAATTTTCCGACTCAACATACTGACTGGCGTAGCTTTTGTTCAAGATAGCCATTATAAATGGTGTGTTTGCTCGTCCTTTCTAGGGGGCGACGGACCCAAGACAAGATTAAAAAGAGTACCCTTGCAAACTATCTTCCTCAGTACTTCTCAGCCAGGCGGACGGATTTACATAAATGAACCATTTGTCCTTGTTTGACCAGTTCACGAGGGAAAAATTCATAGCTGGAGGATGGGTTGGTCCTTAACGGGGTCAAAAGTGGACTCTGTGGAAGCGAGTGGAGGGGGAGGTAACGACCACACATTGTGATCTACAAATGCTCGCTCGTCACGTCAGCCACATGGGACAGCCAGAAAAACCGTTTTAAACACCTCAGGAGGCAAAGAGCACACGTCAAATCAATAGCTTGGGGGGATGTCGGTCGATCTGTAGGTCATGGCGAGAACACGGTGGACGCCGTCGAAATCGACGATCGAATTGTCGTCGCCGTCATTGTCGCGTGTGCGTGTGTGGAGTGTACGGTTGTCCAGTCGTGGGTCCACGTGGCGGTCGTAGTAGGTCACTCACATGCTTGCAGGTGTAGACTACGCCTAGCGTCCATTAACTGGCACTAAGTTCTCACGCGTAGCTCCCTGAAGTTAGGTTCTGCCCAGCGGCCAAACTCCGGTGACCACCTCAACCGGTGGGCTAAACCAGGTGAGGGTATTCGTGTGTGCATCTCCGCACACGGTAACTCGGCTCCGCTCTCACCATCCCTGGCCGGGTAGATCACCGCCTCGGCATCGCCAAGATGAGGCTCCGTCTGCAACCCCGCAGGAGGCCACGAGCACTTAATAAGCTCCTGACTTAGCGGATGGAAGACCGGCCCCTTTCTACTCCTTCGCACCTATTCTCCGCCGTTCTCCTCTGCCCCTCACTCTCTCTACTCTCTACTTTACTTTGCTCTCTTACCACACAGTCGAATGTCCCACGGATCACCGTATCGCCACCCGCAGAAGGCCACGAGATAAGTGACCGTCCATGTAATCCGAATGCTGCTCTGTTGTCTTTACTTTTGCCTATTCTTGCTTGCCTTTGCCTGCTGGTTTGTGTTTGTCCTCGTTTTAGCCAACTGCCGTTCTGTCAAATTTGTCTGTTCACTGTTTGTATTTCAGCAACCAGTTAGCTTAGAGAGGCACGGGAAACTCTGCTTCTCGTCTCTCTACCCTTCCCCCATCCCCCTCACCCCTTTAAGTCGTAGGAAGGCCCAGGCGAACTCGGGTTGTCCTCCCGCCAAACAAAGGCGTAACCCATTGTGGAGTGCGCTGGTCGTCTGGGATGTCTGAGCAGCCCTATTTAGGACAGCACTTTGTGCCCCCCAAACAGGCCACGCGGTAGATGCGCTGGGCCAATACGGGATCCATATCGGATTCCGGAAGGCGTTATCAGAATAGCACAGCATAACAAATGCCAACATTTCGGGTTCGGTGGCATACTGGGTTGCCGACAGCCGTCAAGCACACTGGGACCCCTGCCGCCCTCACCCACCCAATATTGTTGTTGGTCAAACACCTGGTCATTTGTTGTGTGGACCAGGGGCTGTGAAGCTGAGCGTCAAGTTGCCGGCTCGACCGTGTCACCCATATGTACCAATCCCCGCCTCCGGTCTTCTTGATTCTGCCTTGACATCGGGTCCACGTGGGCAGTGGGGAAGAGGGAGTGCGGCGCAAGTCTGCTGTCACTATAAACTAATTCACACGTAAGTCACCGCGGCTGCTGCACCTTTCGGATGAGCACATGGTAGACATTGTCGGAAATGACGGTCGAAGTCAGGGACAGCACTGCTCACTACCGCAAGGGGGATGAGCTAGAAAAGGTGCCGTAAACAAATACTGGGATCACGTTCTCTGAGCGCTGACCGTGGCCGCAGGCGCAAAACACACGATTGAAACAACCAAACATGAAATTATACTCTGTCTCTCCTCCCCTCCTCCTCATACTCCTCCTTATACTCCTCCTCCTCCCCTGCGTCCCACCGCACAGATTAGTAGGGGGATTCCGCTCACTGCGGCAGCCTGGAGTATTTGTTCCCTTTTTGACAATCCGAGGAGCAACCGATCGGAACGGAGGACTTCGCTAGTGGCTCGGGAATTAGCGCATCACAAGGTTGGCATCGCCACACTCAGCGAGACCCGATACGCCGAACAAAGCCAACTGGAAGAGGTGGGTGCCGGTTACACCTTCTTCTGGAGCGGTCGACCCAGGGCAGAGCGACGGGACGCGGGTGTCGCCTTCGCCATTCGGAACGACATCGTGGGACGACTGCCCTGTTTGCCGCAGGGCGTTAACGATCGCCTGATGAGCCTCCGCCTGCCTCTCCGGGGAGGCAAAAAGGCAACCATCATCAGCTTCTACGTTCATCGATGACCATCCATGACGAGGGGTGGAACGAAGTCTACGAGGACCTGCACGTCCTTCTGGCGTACGTGTCGAAGGCGAAAAAGTTGATTGTCCTCAGTGACTTCAACGTCCGTGTCGGCACAGACCATGCTGCCTAGAGAAGATTGCAGGGTCTCCGTGGTCTCTACTACTCAGATGACAATAACCTGCTCCTTCTACGAACCTGCGCAGAACACCGGCTCATCCTGACCAACACATACTTCCGCCTTCAATAAGATGATCGTCCTTGGTGATTTTAACGCCCGCGTCGGCACAGACCATGCTGTCTGGAGAGGAGTCCTGGGTCCCCACGGTCTCCGCGGCTCAAACGACAATGGTCTGCTGCTTCTCCTCACCTGCGCAGAACACCGCCTCATCCTGACGAACACGTTCTTCTGTCTGCCGGAGCGAGAGAAGGCCACCTGGAGGCATCCTCGGTCGCGTCAGTGGCACCTGCTGGACTATGTCCTCGTCCGGAGGCGAGACCAGCGGGACGTGCTGGTGCCGACGGGTTGACCGAACATCGCCTTGTCATCAGCAAGATGAGGATTCGCCTACAGCCTCGCAGGAGACCACAAGGTAAGCGACCCTCAGGTATGCTGAATATTGCTTTGTTATTTTTGCCTGCTCACCATTTCCATTTCAGTAATGAATTAGCTCAACGGCCAGTCAACCTTCCAGTCACCGCTGCCGCTGCCTACGCCGACGTGGACGACTACGTGGAGAACCGACGGTTCCAACCAAGGGGTACAACCCAGTCGACCACCCCGGCCGTCCTCGGTCGCGCACGCCGCGAACATCAGGACTGGTACGACGACAATCACGCCGCCATCAGTAATCTGCTCGACTAGAAGAACCGACTGCACAAAACCTATGTTAACCGCCTTACCAACGCAAACAAAGCGGCCTTTTAACGAAGTCGCCGCCTCTGACAACAGCAGCTAAGGGGAATGCAGGAGGCCTGGATGGCTCGCAAGACAGAGAAGATCCAAGAGTACACGCACCACAATGAATGGGAGAATTTCTCCGAGATCAAGACTGTCTACGATCCTCCAACCAAGGGCAGTGCACCTGGTCTCAGCGCCGACGGCAGTACTCTACTCACAAAAAAGACAAAAATTTTACAGCGATGAGCATGAGCACTTCAGAAGCGTCCTCAACCGTCCCTCCACCAGCTCCGACTCCGCAATCGCCCGTCTGTCTTAAGTGGAGACCAACGTCGACCTCGAACTCCCCTATTTTCTCCACAAAACCATCAGTGCCGTGCAGTAGCTCTCCAGCGGAAAAGCGCCCAGATCGGATGCGATCCTTGCCCAGATCTACAAGTTCGGTGTTCCCCAACTCATGGATCATCTGACTGCGCTCTTCCAGGAGATATGACATTAGGGAGAAGTCCGCAGGATTTCAAGGACGCCACAATTGTTCATCTCGATAAGCGGGAAGGTAATCGCCTACTCTGCAATAACCATCCCGACATTTCGCTGATTAACATCGCCGGGAAGATATTCTTTCGCATTCCCGTCAACCGCCTCAACAGCCAACTGGACCAGAGACTCTTGCCGCAAAGACTGCGCGGCTTCGGCGGTCATTGTGGACCACCGACATGATTTTCGCCGCCCGTCAACCCCAGGAGAAGTGTCAGGAGATGCGGACTCATCGGTACTCTACCTTCGTGGATCTGATGAAAGTCTTCGATACGGTGAATCGTGAAGGACTGTGGAGAACCATGCAGAAATTCGGCTGTCTCGAGCGATCCACTCAGATGGTGCGTCAGACCCACGATGGCATGACGGCGTGTCGCGGACAATGGGGTCGTCTCAGAGTCATTCGCAGAAACTAACGGAATGAAGCAGGACTGCGTCCTCGCTACGTCCATAGACCCCTGGAAGGCCATCAATACCGTGAATTGCGACGAATCCTTGGAAATCATGCTGCATTTCGGATGTCCGCATTGTTCCACACATGGTAAGCCAACTACACGACACAATAATGACACAGATGACGAACAATGGGGCAGTTTTAGAAGCATTTGCAAGGACTAATGGAGTGAAGCAGGGTTGTGTACTCTTTGCCACCCTCTTCAATCTCATGTTCTCTAGCATGCTAATGGACGCCAACCGTGACGAGCGCCCTGCAGTCTGCATCCCCCACAGGACGGGCGGTCAACCACTCAACCACCGGCGGATGCACTTCCAGTCGCGTGTATCCACAACCGCCGTCCAAGAACTTCTGTTCGCCGATGGCTTGCCCTCGACGCCATCTCGGAAGGGGACATGCAGTTTCTTTACCTCTTCGCCGCCGCCTAAGACAACTTCGCCCTGGTCAACAATACCGATAAAACGGTGGTTATACATCAAACACCACCCAACGCTGCCTACATCGTACCCCAACTAAACGTGGACGGCGCGCAAGTGCAAGTCGTGGACAACTTCACCTACCTGGGCAGCACTCTTTCTCGCAAAGGCAAAATCAACGACGGAGTGGCCCACCAGATTTCCAAGGCCAGTCAAGCCTTTGGTTGTCTTCAAAACACAGTTTGGAATCAACACGGTCTCCATTAAACTCAATGTGTACAAAGCAGTCATGCCCCAAAAGCTGTCGTATAGAGCGGGGACCTGGATGGTGTATAAGAAGCAGGCGCGATGACCCCGCCACTTGCACCACAGCTGTTTCCGACGGATATTGGAGTTGAGGCGGCAGGACCGATTCCCGGACACGGACGTACTGGAGTAGATGAGAATCCACAGCATCTACGTCATGCGGAGACAACTGCAACTACGTTGGACCGGCCATCTTGTACGGATGGACGAGGAGCGGCTACACAAACGAATCTTCTACCAAGATGTCGCCACGGGATCCCGCCGACAAGAAGGTCAAGTACGGTGCTTAAGGACACTCGGAGGGCTTCCATAAAGCGTTCGCAGATCAACCCGGCCAACTGGGAAGACCTCGCCCGGAACCGACCGACTTGGCGGAGAGTAGTGAATGCAGACTCAGCTATTAAAGAGACCAACCACATCACGACCCGAAAGCCAAACGCAAGACTCGTGAATCTCAACTGCCCTCGCTTCACAACGCCATCAGTCTATCATTTTTGCCTGTCCTGTCCCACGTGTACCACACTTAAGTCTTTGGTACCGTCCCCAAGGGCGTCCTTGCAACCACTGATTACTTGTTTTCTGGGTGAACGCGTTGTCTTAGATATCATGGAGCCGTTTCCGATATCAGTGCGGGGCCACGAATACATCATAGTAATTATTGATCATTACACAAAATGAGTCGAGTCGATTCCCCTACTGCGTCAACACGGCCAGTCCGTCGCAAACGTCGTCGCTCCTGAGCTGGTCTATCGGTTGGGCTCACCCCTGGCTTTTTATTCAGATCGCGCGTCAAACTTCGGTTCATGGCTGTTTCAAGGGGTATGTGAGCTCTTCGACGTACACAAAACCCTCAAAACTCCCTACAACCCCGAAGGGAATGGGCTCGTCGAGTGTAGTAACCGAACTCGCAAAAAATACTCCTAGCGTTCATATGGGAGAACCACGCTAACGACTGGGACATTCCCTTGCCCTTCTGTCTTCTAGCCTACCGAGAATTAATTCACCCCACCACAGGTTTTGCTCCCCACTTCCTAAGCACAGGACACAGTTTACGCCTGTCGAGCGAAGTGACCCACCCTCTGCCCACCCCAGACCGCATTTTGACCACCGACTACTAAAAAAAACTTAGCCTGATTATCCGGCTAGCACACAACTCAGCCCACCGTGAAATCAAAGCCGCTTCGAGACATCAAAAACTGAAACATAACCGTCGTCGCTCTAGGCAACCGTACTAAATCGGTGACTTAATTTTACATTTAAACGCGACTCCACCTCACATGACACCAGCGAATTTTCACCACTCGTGGCGGGTCCCTTTGTTTTCTTAGGTGTTTTCCCACCTGCAGACTACCCGAACCCCAACCCTTTGCAGTCCACTTCCCTAAACTTAAACGCTACCGCGGCCGACTATCCTACATATACTGCCCCCCGGGTCAGGTCCACCCTGTAGCCGTCGAGGTCGTTGTTCTTCCACATATAGTCAAGACAGGCACTGAGGACGGTGTTCAATCTCACAGGGGCGCGGGTGCTGAAACGGTCACGAGGAAGAAACAGAGGCGATAACTTTCATTCAATTTCACCTTCTCTTCCCTTTTCCCACTGTCTTCCATTCGCCAATGAAGGTGGAGGATAAACTAACAAATGGATACAGCTTATGCCGAATTTTCTCCCGAACACATCGTCGACCATCTCGTTAGAGAAGTGCGGTTACGCTGCTTTGAGGTCCCTGACGTCAAGTGGGAGAAGTCAGTAACCGCGACGACAGCGCACAGATCGACCTCCGCTGAACTCATTTTGCTTGGGGTAACAGCGCCTTCTGTCGACGGCTGACCAGGACTCGGTGTCATCAACAAATCGACAACTTCCTCTCCTACCATTTTGTGCATACTGACCTCTTTTTCAATAATTTTTGACAAAAATCCCCTTTGTCCGTATTCCGAGGCCAATTCGAAACGATGAGATGGACGGAGGACAACGATTTAATTTGAAATTATTAACATTTTCGGCAATGATAATTATAAATCGCGGCAATCACAACGATTTCGTAAATTGCACGGATAAAAAGAGCGGTGTGGTTGGTATGCCTGAGTCTACGTTTTGTAACATCAAGTCCTCGAATCGCGAATTCTGGCCTTGCTGTTTTGTGTAGGTGGACAAGTAAGAACACAAACTCCTCCCTTTTCCGAAACATGAACACAATTTATCAGAGGTTTAAAGTGTCCAAACTGGGGCGGAAATATATGGATCATAAAAATCAACGATAAAGATGTGAATCCGGTTTCGGCAGGGCATAGGGATACGGACACCCTATTACAGGTGGTCTTGGGATTAATTTCGGGGGGTAAAGGTTGGAGTTGTGGGGGTTAGTTTAAGGACCAGAGTTGTGAGAGTTAGAGTTAGGGCTGGAGCTAGGACAGGTGGATTTAAGGGATTACCACATGTAGGACGACGGGTCTTTATTCTTTTGTTCAACGCGGTCTCCTCCACAAAGTCTAGTTTCCGTCGACTGCGCATTCCCATCAAACCCAGTTTACGGCAAATATTCAGTCAGCATATCGACCGCTTGCCGTCAGGCCAAAAGATCTAGCTTTGAGTTCCATAGAAGGATATATGTCATCTAATTTTCAAACGTATAGATAGAATTGATGGAAGGGATACGGAAAACTAGCCGGACCTGGGTTACCTATGTGAAACAGTAAGCTAGTCGTGGTCAAATCCACTTACTGAGGCATCGTCTTCATATATTATTCAATAAACGATTTAAGCCATATGCTTAACTTGCTACATGGCCGCTACTAGAGTAAGTCTGCATCCAGAATACAGCGAACCATACTTTTCATGCACTTTTTGTCAGAAGAAGAGAGAGAGAGACCGATTTGACAAAAGTTTCATGGAAATGCCCCTCTATATGAAGCCACATCCAAAACGAAAATTGTCACCGGACTTCGGAACACGTAAAAGGGGCAAACTGGGTTCGGTACTTTATTTTGATATTCCGACTACCAACAAAACGTACCAGGCAGGGGGTTTAAAAAAGGTGGATGGATAAATCGCGTCTGGTAGGAAAAACAGACCTTATCGCCAGCAGAGCAGAATGAAGCAGGTGCGCCTAGATTGGAAGAATACAATGTGCAACTGCCCCGACTGCATGACTGTGGCAGACCAACATCAGCAGAGGGAACCATAAAGTTCACTTTATATGTACAAACCTCCTGGAACAATGAGAGGACAAGATGGACAAGAAAATCCTT